ACAGACGCACCACCAACACAAATCACCGCACGAGAGGAGTAACTGCGCATGCGAACCCTGCAAAAACGATAGAATAGAGGGATGTAAGAACCCACACAAATGTACGATCACAGCATTAACGTACTCACCAAACTAAGCCAAAACTTAACCCCCTCGACCTCACCACCGGATGACGGCCTCACTCTAAACCATCGACGCAAGGAAAAAAACGCACGCGCCAATATCTCAACAAGGAGGAGACATAGTCTTCGACCCTTCGATAACAGAAAAGAAACGACCTGTCGGAATGTTTCAGAATATTTACAAAAGACAACCACAAACCACATACCCCGGCATACCGCCTTAACATATAGGACCAAGACGAGGGTCACAAGAACAAGCGATTGAAATCTACACGGATGGATCGTGTATGAACAATGGAAAGGAAAACGCGAGATGCGGGAGTGGTATATGGTTCGGGGATGACAACCCACATAACAGATCCATAAGAGTCCCCGGAAATATACAATCCAATCAGATAGGCGAGATCGCAGCCATCCTTATAGGACTACAAAGCGTCAGTCCCCTTACCCCAGTGACCTTCATAACAGACTCACGATATGTTATCAACGGTCTAACGAACCACCTCCGCAACTGGGAGGATCGAGGCTGGATAGACATAGCGAACAGCGACATCTTCAGAGCCACAGTATACCAGCTAAGAAAGAGGTCAGCAACAACGACCTTCAGATGGATCAAAGGCCATAGTAACAACAAAGGAAACAATGAAGCAGACAAACTCGCCGAGATAGGCGCCCTCAAAAACGAATACGACCATATGGACATAAAGATCCCACCAGAATTCGACCTACAAGGAACGAAACTCACCCAAATCACCCAAGCCTTAGCATACAGACAACTGATATCATCCCCAACCCTCGAATACAAACGCTCAACCCTTGGCCTCCTCGACATAACACGATACGCCATAAAAGATATATCAAACACACTAGAAACAGACCGATCGATATGGAAAGCCAGAAAGAACAAAGACTTAACAAAAAAATTCCAGATATTCACGTATAAAGCGCTCCACAACGTGTTCAAAGTGGGAGACTTCTGGACCAATATTCCCACCTTCGAACACCGTGCAAAATGTCAGATATGTGAAGAAGACACCGAATCAATGAGTCACATACTCACAGATTGCAACAGCACAGCACGAAAGCTCATATGGCGCCTAGCAGAACAAACCTGGCCTACCAACATCATCCCATGGCCGGATATATCGATAGGAACGATCCTGGGATGCGGGGTAATATCGATCCCACACGAACAAAATAAAGAAGACCCAGATGATAAAAAGAAAGCAGAATCAAAAAGAGGAGCCACAAGGCTACTCCGCATACTCATATCAGAATCTGCTTACTTAATATGGACCATCAGATGCACCAAGGTCATTCAGGGAATATCCCTCGACGAATTAAATATAACAAAAAGATGGACTAAAGCAATCAACGATCGCTTACAAATAGATAGAATAATCGCTAGTAAAATCAAAAGAAACCAGAAATACTCCAACCTCATCAACGCTACATGGTCAAACATTATATCCCCCGGAAAATCCCTCCCACATAATTGGGTCACATCACTCGAGGTTTTAGTGGGTATAACACTACCCAGGCCCCCGCAGACCGAGGTAACCTAGGTAGTTTAAAGAGTCCCACACACCCCTACCACCAGTAGGGAGTGCGTAAGTGCATTTTCCCTCGGACCGGTGCCCTAAGCACCGCTATAAGCGTTTATATAGAGCTAGACAGTGTCAGTGGATATATAATAGACTCGCTTGTCCAAAAAAAAAAAAAAAAAAGAATCTAAACATATCAAGGCTGTCAAGGAGCCGTGGCGACGGTCCAGTCGGTTAGAAGCCCTCAATCAGATGTTACTGACAAATCAACGTCTAGATAAGTTAGCGGCGTCTCGTGTTGACTTTGCTAGCCGTGGGATGCTAACAGGAACATGTCTATCATATATCCTTGATAAACTCGGTACGTCTACTAGCATTTGACCACTAATATTACTAACACAAATCACACACAGGGCTAAACGCTCCAGTGCACAATGCAGAAGCCATTCAAGTCCGGCTCGAGGACGAGCCGATTGACATTCCCCATCTCGGACGCAACAATCACGTGAATGCCGACTTGGAGGCTGATGCAGACCAAGATGCTGAGCTCGAGGGTGACGCTGTTGCTGGACCGACGGTGATAGCTCATGTAGACTTGGCGAAGAAATCTGGTGAGTGGAGTAGTACATTTACCTGGCGTGCTTTTTACTTACAACAAATTTTTAGCAAAACGGATCTACGCAGACCTACTCGCAGATCAAATTGGTGAACCGGAACTCACCACTCACATTCAGCGATTTTTACATGACCAGCTCCATTGTTCTGACTCCAACTCAGAAGCCTCCGAGTCTGGTGCTGGCTCGTCCAGTGCCCTTCCCGAACTACATGAAAAAATAACTCTGTATACATCTGCCATTGCCACCTTCTTCGCTCCCAGTGATGTCTCAGGCATCGGCGGTATGCGCTACGAGCGAATTCGTGCCGTGGATACCTGGAGGAACGGCCCTGGTCGATATGACTGTGTTTTCATTAGTACTGATCCCACTGTCGAGGGTATGCGTGGCTTCGATATCGCTCAAGTAAGGCTTTTCTTTTCATTTAAACACAATGGTGTACATTACCCTTGTGCATTTGTGCATTGGTTCAAACACGTGCACGACTCACCAGATGAGAACACAGGAATGTGGGTAGTAGAGCCTGAAACCCGCGAGGATGGGACACGATTTGCCTCCGTCATTCACCTTGACTGCATTTTTCGTGCGGCACACCTTATGCCTGTATTTGGGCATGAATTTGTACCTACTTATCTCTCTTACACACAGACCCTTGATGCTTTCCGCACTTACTATGTAAATAAATACATTGACCATCAGGCATTTGAGATTGCCTGGTGACTTGATACTGACTTATTCTTATTGGCTGGATAATGCTACCATTAGGACTACATATTATATACTTTGTCGGCTTAGGAAGTACTTCGCATAGCGCCTATTGACTTAGTTACAACGCAGCATGGTGTTGATTACTTATAAATAAACTTCTTACTTGAACACGCTTTTCTGCAGCCTCCGTGCTGAATTTTGGCCATTCATTACTTACTATTATTGTGTTTCCTTTGTGAACAATCCTCCAAGCAGAAATTAGTTTGAAATGATTTGCTTTGACAACTTAGTGAACTTAACGTCGAATTAAGTCTCTGTAAGTGAGGTAAGATGGCTAAGACTTTTTCCCTTTTTCCTGATGTCATTAATCGCCTAACCCAATCCTGGACGACTGGTCACAACCAGCGAGTCGCCGAATGGAACCAGCAAAGAGAGAGAGAAGCTGCCGACGAAGCCGAAGCAGAACAAGCACGCGCGGACCAAGAAAGAGAACTCCGTGCGCTACAGCCTCTATAACCCTGATAAACACTGTACAACCTACTACAATACTCCTACCCGCATGTCTGCTCACACAGATGCCCACAACCCATTGTGGATGCCCGCACATTAATTTATGCGGATGCCCACAATTTTGCTCACATGGTTGCCCACATGCTTGTGCACGTGGATGCCCGCACCTTTGTCATACGCGGTCGTTCCTTCATGCACCCAGCCCAAGATGAGCGAGTCCTCACAGGGCCATTCCTGTAGTGAGTACACGAGGCTCAGTGAGCTTGATAGAAGTCACTATATTGAGTATATATACCTGTAGCGAGTACACGAGGCTACAGGAAGCATTAGTTATATGTAGGTACTGTGGATAGTAGGTACTGACCTCAGTGAGCTTGATAGAAGTCACTGAGCTTGAAGGTTCTAACTGTGTGCGAAGGAAACAAAAAGGAACACGCTTATGTAATGTACGTAGCGAGTGTTAGTATATTCAACAATTCCCATCATCACAAAACAAGTTATTGTGACTATCATTGTGATTCACGCCGGGAAAACCACGAGCACAACCATCATAGTTCTCATTTGCGTTCGCCTCGCTGCAATGGCAATGACAACCAGAAGTCTTCGCCTGACAACACGAAGAACCACCAACAGCGCCGCCGGGGTTTTCCCATGGTGCAGGCTCTCGTGGCCGGTCAGCCTGCACCGTCTGCCTTGGCCATTTCGCCCACAATATTCAATGTTGCGACTCTGCAACTCTGTGGGATGGAACCCCCGCCTATTGTCACAAATTCAATGACAACTGTCTCATCAATCCTCAAAGAAATGCCCTCTGCTTCAAGTGGCAATGACCCAATGGTTGTCATGCCAGAACCCACGAACTGCACCACGAATGTTCCGGTTGCGGAAGCAAGGAGCATGGCGCTCAAGGATGCCCTCGAAGTGAGAAAGGGCAGAGCACTCACACCATATAAGCCTGAAGGATGGGCTCGTCTTCTCAATGAGACAGGTCTTATCAGTAGATACCCCCATATCCCAGAATGCCTTGTGTCAGGTTTCTCCGGGGGCATTCCCCTGATCAAATGTACATACAAGCCTCCAAATAATCCCACCATCGAGCAACACCCAGAAGCTTTCTGGAGTATCATTAATCTCGAGTTTTCGAAAGGACATTTCTTCGGCCCATTCACAGTGAAAGACCTCAAATCAGCCATTGGTTACTTTCAGACAGCACCTCTTTCACTCGTACCCAAACCTGGAAAGCCAGGGGAAATTTCGCTTGGTACAAAATCTGTCCTTCCCACACAACCCTTCCCCTGCCAAGCCTATTAGTTCCATTAATTTGAGAGTCGATTCTGACTCTTTCCCCTGTACATACGGCACATTTTCCACAATTTGTCTGTCAATATGGCGCTTACCCTCGGGCTCACAAGGTGCTGTTCGCGACGTTGCGGAGGTGTATCGCACAATACCCCTCCATCATTCTCAGTGGGCTGGTTTGGCAGTTCGTCTCCCAGTCGAAGATTCATTTGCTGTCGATACAGCCTTTTGTTTTGGCTTTGGACCCTCAGCAGGAATATACAGGAATATTAGTGACACAGGTCTGGATATATTATGTGCGAAAGGCATCGGACCCGCCTCCAAATGGGTCGATGACCATCTGTTCCTTCGTATTAGACGTGAATTTTTGGGAGAATACAACAAAAGACGTGCCCAATGGGCAAAGGACATCGCAGACAATGGAGGTGTCATTTTCAGCGGCGGACGGAAATGGTATAAGGGAGCTGCAATGCCAAACGACTCAGCCGAAGAATTCAACGAGGATGTATTCTTCCCTATTCAAGATCTATCCAACCTTTCCCCTCGATTGGAGGAGGACACCATATTCTCTTATTGCATGGCCGACATTGATCAATTCTCATCATTGCTCGGCATCCCTTGGGAACCTTCGAAAGATAAACCTTTCAGTACTAGCCCCCCATTCACAGGTTTCATTTGGAACATCGCAGATCGCACTGTGGATCTTTCGATGGAAAAACAGGATAAGTATATTCGCACGATCTCAGATTGGCAATCGAAGTGCACGCACACGCTACAAGAAGTACAGAAGCTGTACGGAAAGCTTCTACACGCGGCCCACATTATCCCCATGGGCAGAGCTTACCTCACCAACCTCAAGGCTATGTTGGCCATGTTCAATGACTGTCCCTTCCTTCCCCGAACCCCCCCACGGAACACACCAGACGACATTATCTGGTGGAAAAATGCCCTCAGCAAACAACACATATCCCATCCAATCCCTGGACCATGTGTCGTCCAAGAATTCCATGCCTATTTGGACGCTAGCTCTGGCCACGGAATCAGCATTTTTATCAATGGGCACTGGAGAGCATGGGATCTCATCCCGGGCTGGAAGAGAGACAGTCGAGACATCAGATGGGCTGAGAGTGTTGGCTTCGACCGCACAATCATCAACTCTCAAGCCTCCGGAATTCATTTCAAGATCTATGGGGACAACATGGGTGTTGTCGAAGGATGGTGGACAGGCCGTAGCAGAAACCGAGCCTCAAACGAAGACTTCAGGTGTATTCATCAAATCATCGCTAGTGCCAAGTGCATGGTTCTTACACGATATGTACCTAGCAAAGACAACCCAGCCGACGGCCCCTCCCATGGGGTATATCCCCCCACGAGTCATATGCTCCCTCCAGTCTTCATCCCCGTTGAGCTCCAGCCCTTTATCAGGGACATTTCTGAAGCCACCACAACTGATAGAACCAGACAACGTCAGTCATCAGGCAAATTGTTTCTCCCAATGGGCAGTAACCACACCGATTCGGAACTCCGACACCACACGTTCATCAACTGTGAATTCGAGCGCAAAGGAGAAGAACTGTTTGAAGCGTCGCAAAACTAGTAAGTCCCGCAACGGAAAAATTTGCAACCCCTCACCAGTGCATACCTAATAATAGCCTATAATACCAACCTCACTCCCCTCCCATCCGTGCTCCACCCACATTGCTCTGCAAAGGAGAGACTATACCTTTGGCTACCATTTTCTTCGCGAGATGCACGAGATGCACAAGGGAAAATTGTTCCCCTACTCCCAACAGACCTCCAACGCATCCGGGAAACCATGATCCACGCATATGCAGAAGCAACCCGCGAAACGTACAGATCGGGCCTGTTAACCTTCCACATTTTTTGTGACGGCAAAACGATACCCGAACATCAGCACGCACCTGCAAGCCATATCGTCATATCATCCTTCATTACCTCCATGGCAGGTCACTATTCAGCCAAGACAATAGTGAATTATGTGTGCGGTGTTCGTGCGTGGCATATCCTGCACGGCATGACCTGGGCTCTGAACGAGATGGAGATAGATACCCTCCTTAAGGCATCAATTTCTCTCGCAACAGCATCTGCGAAAAGAAGCAAATGTGAACCCTATACCATTGATTTAATGATTGCCGTACATCAACAGCTCGACCATAATAACCCCCTCGATGTGGCAGTCTTTGCATGTCTAACCACTGCCTTTTTCGCTACCACTTGCACTGGTGAATTCACTGTTCCTTGTCTCGACAGATTTGACCCTGCCATACACGTCAAACTATCCAACGTCAATGACACTCACGATCGTCAGAACTGAGCCATGAAAACCTTTTTCTTACCTTGCACAAAAGCCGCTCCGGAGGGGGAAGAAGTATCTTGGGCGAAGCAAGAAGGGCCCACAGATCCTGAAAAAGCTTTCACCAATCACCTCCGCATGAACGATCCTCCCCGTAATGGCGCACTTTTCGCGTATTGCCACAAGGACTCTCACTGCCTGTTAACGAAAACCAAGTTCATACAACGTCTAACTTCAGCAACCAAAGCCGCTGGTCGCCAACCAGTGCAAGGCCATGGTATTCGGATAGGATCGACTCTGGAGTACCTTCTCAGAAATGTCCCCTTTGATGTGGTCAAAGTGAAAGGCCATTGGGCTAGTGATGCGTTCCTCGTCTATCTGCGACGACACGCACAAATCTTAGCACCATACATGCAAGCTACTCCCGCGCTACAAGATCAATTCCTTCGTCACACCATTAACGTGCCTCCAGTCCGTTGAAAACTACATTCTCAACTCATTAAATAGTAAGTCCCCTCCTCCTAACATTATTGGGTACCCGAGCCTCACTGGATGCGTCGTCGGCCTCCTAATCGTTGGGAATCGCAGCTCACCTCTCTGTCCCAGGTTAGTTTCTCAGGGCCGGAAGACGCTGCGCGTCCTCACCCGAAACCTCTCAGTATCATAGTTAGTATCTTCTAACATTTGCCTACTTACCTTGTCCCTCGCGAGCTCGCAGCACAATAACCATCCTGTTACCTTGATCATGTCTAAGTGAACCTCAAAGATCATCAGTGAACCCATGAGGAAAGTAGAAGGCCATAAATTACAATATATAGTACATAATCTCAAGAACCAGCATAATTCTGCTATCGACGATGATATTGGTATATTTGGCCTTATAGAGGGA